AAAAAGAAGTCTGATGAGGAGATGTGGTGATCTCCGAAATAGTGCTATACTTGCCGCTATTTAGACTTTGTTGCTTTTTCAATTTTTCCTAATAAACAATCGTGGTACAAAGCTCAATAAAAATATTAAAAATAAAATGTTAACAAGCCACAATAACATTGACAAATACATAGTTTAGGAAGAGCCTGCCTGAAACTATACAAAAAAGCAAATAAGCAAATGGATGTATAGAATTGACAACAACAACCACGCTGTCGAGTTTAAATAGCGGCAAATCAGCTGCACTTGATAGTAGTTGGTTGAATAAGGAAAATGAATTAGCAACAAGAGTTTACGGGATGTACATAGCTCAGTGGTTAACGCTTCTGACTTTGAACATCGAATTCGCAGGTTCGATCCCTGCTGAAGTCTAGAAAAAAGAAGTCTGATGAGGAGATGTGGTGATCTCCGAAATAGTGCTATAACTTCTACCGCTTAGACTTTGTTGCTTTTTCAATTTTTCCTAATAAACAATCGTGGTACAAAGCTCAATAAAAATATTAAAAATAAAATGTTAACAAGCCACAATAACATTGACAAAAAATAATTATTATTTTTAAATAATGATTATATGTTGATTTTAATTATTTTTCTTAAGTCATCTCAATCGAAAAATGAAGTTTTTCAGTTTTCAGAGTTATGAAGCGCGCGAGATCAGTCGCGGCGCTCCCTCGCGTCACATCAGCCCGTTCGCATGCATGAAGTAACAGTCGTTTTGAAATTTACACAATAAAGCACGGATTATTGCAATGAACTTAAGTTTAACAACACTTCTTAATACTTATTAAAAAATGGATATTTATAAAAAAATCTCTAAAAATTAAAGGGCTGATTTTTCCAATTTAAAACCCTTTTTATAAGGTTTCACATCTAACTTCTTTTTTAATGCGGCATTATGGACGGCGGCCACTGTGATGTAGAGGTTAGCAGCGCATGCTACCACTCCGCAGCTCCTGGGTTCAAGACCTGGTCAAAGCAACATCAAAAAAAATATAGAAAAAAGGTGTTTTTTTATTAAAAGCGATCGCCCCTCGGCAGGCAATGGCAAACCTCCGAGTGTATTTCTGCCATGAAAAAAGCTTCTCTTAAAAATACAATCGCCGTTCGGAGTCGGCGTAAATCTGTAAATCCTCAATTCGGAGGAGAAGCTCGGCCAAACCATAACATATTTGTAAGCGCCAATCTATTATTATTATTATAGTCGTATATCTGAAGATGTCTTGAAGATTTTCAGATTTAAACATCAAATAGTTCAAAATGGGGATGTCAATGGCAAAAATACATCGTTGTTTTTCCTCAAGTCGATGCATCGAAACTTGCATCGATACTTGTTGATGCATCGGACGACGTACATCGATGCATCGATACATATAGATTTTTCCTTCACTATGGAAATAAAACAAATACAATTTGAAACAATTTAACAAACTTTTATTTTGATTTTAAGTATAGAGTAGTAGCGACTCAAATAAGTGTTCACGTGTAGATTTCTTTTATTTAATTATTCAATACGTTTTTTAAGTTAACATTTTTTGTTATTTTTTAGAAAAATAGTGCTCATGCTTTAACCAAACCATGTAACAATGTTTCAAACTTTATATAAAATTCAACAAATTTTCATTAATTTTTTAACATTTTAATATTAGTGTTTAGAACATTTTAGTATGCAGTTTTATAGCTCATAAAAATTTTGTCTATTAAAGTGCAAGTAAGTAAAAGAAAAAAGATTACAAATAAAAGCAATTGAAACTTGCCCTTTATTATTCTAAAATTTTATGAGCTGTAAAACTGCAGCTTGCTTTCTTTGAATTTCAGACAAAGCGATGTTTGGGCGTTCGATGCACTAGAGATGTCTCGACGCATCGACTATTTATACATCGAGTGGTAAATTTTCGATGCATCGAAGCAAAACATCGATATTTTCGATGCATCGATGTGTTTTCGACATCCCTAGTTGAAAAGTATAACAAATAATAGATTTGTGCACGAACGATTGATCTCGCGCGCTCTAAAACGCTTTGTAACTAGAAAAAAGGTACCACTTTTATTGATGATTTCTATCACGGTTGCCGCTTGTTAAAAAAATAACCAACCAAAAAACGTAATTTTTGTTGGTTTTTCATAATTTTTCATTCTTAACTGTATTTACTTTTAGAAACGGGTCATATGACTAATGTATAATGTATGTAAACATTAGTGTGTTCAACTGTGTTAACGAATCATTATTTTAGCAGAATGAACGCTTATTGGCTCTGTGGCACACATACTGTATGGAAAATATCTTCGGTGCGAAGGTAGAGGAAATGCAACGACTGATGCGAGAAACGTCGCGCAATGTGTTTTGAGACTTTTCACAGTGGTTTTCACGAATTTTCTTTAGTTGAGAGAAAATCGTCGCCTAGTCAACGTCGTCTTCTAACTTCGAAAGAACCGAAATAAACATTCTGATCTAGTCAAAACGACTAAAGCAGACTACAATTACACCTATTTTGGGACTTAACGAAAATAACGAGACTAAGGAGAAAAGCGAAAAAGTTCGTAAATGAAACTAAATAAAATCGGCTTACATGAGAAATTTTAAATGTTCATAGGGGATTATAGTTTTACATATGTATATAAATACAATACCTATAGACTGTATTTAATTTTTTTGCAAACTAGTTCATGTGCTTTGTGAAAAAAATTGTGTTGCAACCAAAATACAAGCAAAATAAAAAAGAAATCGAAGCGAAATAGTGTCCTAAAAATTACAAATTTTATATGCACCCGTTAAAAATTCAAGGCAAATTTTAAATCAATATTGTAAAGCAAATATTTAAAATATCCAAATAATACATGAAGAGGAGGTAAAATATAATATTTAACGGATTTTTCAGAGAACAGTGTGCCAAATTTTCCACAGCAACATCTTTAAATTTAGCGAAACAGAAGTTGCAGCAGCGGCGGCGGCATCTTTTTAACAAATTGTCCTAGTATCTGTGGCGCATTAAAGCGTAAAATCTCAGAATCTATATATTCTGACAAATTAAAAATATATACAGCCGTAGTAGTAGCAGCAGATATATCGAAAACTTTTCAAGGTGAGTTTATTTTTAGAAATTCGAAATAGCTGAGCAGAAGATTTGTTTTCGAAATGTATCTGCTCTTCATATTTCATTTTGCTCTTTTCATTCAATTCTTCAGTTATTTTGAAGATTTTTTGACAATAGCAGACCATTTAATTATATACATATGCATAAACACAAATATATATGCACACACACATATATGTATGTACACATCCATATGTATGTACATACCGATGGATCCATAAATATGTACATATGTACAACTCATAAGTAGATAGATATGTACCTTCGTACACTTATTTGGATATGTACCTACTATATATGTAAGCATGTGCAACTAAAACTTTGTGTTATGTATTTACTGTGTGAATTTATCCAAATGTTCATTCATATTTACTGATTTACATAGAATCACATCAGAATACAACTACATAATATATACGTTTCTTTGGAGAGTTTTGGCATACAATTTTCGTCCTTGGTTGGCTCTAAAAAAGCCAAAATCAAATTTCGTTAATGCATTTATTTAATTGTTACCCGACCTTAAAGTTTATTTTGAAGTTATTTGTTTTCATTCATATATATGCATATCGTCACTTGAAATGCAAAAAAGACGTAACAAACATCATCATTAAAATGCAAAAAGTCATAACTAATAAAAAATTCTAAATTCACTTTTCGATTTATATGATGGATTTCATCGAATTACAACCACATCATTTTATGAAAAAAATTAAAATATTAGTCACGACTTTTTCCATTTCATTTACGATGTTGTTACGTCTTTTTGCATTTCAGGTGACGATATATGTATATGGCCCAAATCGCCGAAAACGAAACCAAGGGTAAACAATCTTTTTCTCAGGTTTCGCAGATTTTTTATTATATCTGGGTCAAACATATTCTAAGGTGTCGGACAAGTTTAATATTAACACGAGTCTCCTTCTCTCAAACATAAAAATTCACTTAATCCTGAGATACCTTTTAATTAATGAAAATTAAAAAGCACATCATGAAATGAAAGGGTAGTTTAAATTTAAGGACCACCACTTTTTTGCATTATACTTGCCTCTCTTTGCTTGCCTTGTTTTACTTTGAAGTTAATAAAGAAAGTTTTCGACAAAAAAATCAGTGATTCGTTTTTTATATGCAAAAAAATTCGGCAGTATTTTTTACAATGAAATGTAACAGTCCAAAATATCAAACAATTTTTTGGCGCGGAATCCACCAGGCTAAAAAAATTGGAAAATATAATTTTCTTCGAGCATTTTCGGCCTTCTTTCAAAATATTAGCTGTGCCGGAAGAGCGATATTTTGATACATGTTCTTAAAAGCTTCAACGCGCAAAGCAGATTTTAAAAATATTTTTTTCCCATTCGATATTAAATCGTCAACATCACTGAAGCGAGCTCTAGTGGTCTGAAACTATCGATGGCACTATCGATACTATCAATGGTTTTTGATTATCGTACCACCATCGATAGTTTTTGATAGTTTTGGTTTTTCCTATTTTATTGTTTTATCGCTTGTGGTCACTTTTAATGTGCATTTGATAAAACACCATTTAATAAAAGATATTTCGGCAGCGTATATTTACCAACACTTTCCTGTTTCAGCGGGTGTTTTGTAGTGATGGCACGATTAATCGAATAACCGATTATAATACTATTTTCATTCGGTTAAGGATTTAATTGTATCGAAATTTTCCATTCGATTAATCGAGCGACTAACCGATTAATTTTTCAAAATAATCGAAAATAAACCATCAAACATTTACTAATTTACTCTCAAAATAATGTATGAATCCAAATAAGTTGGAATGTTTTTTACATTCTCGTATTCTGGAAATTTTTTAAACGATATTTTTGCCAAAACCCGCAACACAAGCTTAACCTAAGTAGTTACTAAAAAATCACAACCCAGGTATGCACATATTTTCATTTTTCGTTACTGAGTAACGAATACAACCCCTGACTCGAAATACCGAATCGCTACTCACATAATAATCTCGTTACTCGCATGTTCCGTGTGCAGAACAAATTTCTGAAATCGCTTTTTGGCTGTTCACACAGCGAATGAGTTTCTGGCAATCTTTCTCGATACTAAAATGCAACCATGGGCGGTGGGGTTGTCGCATGGTGCAGCGAACAATGTATTCTATCATTCTTGGTTTGATTGCTATTTCTCTTGTAAAAGCGAGAACGAAAACGCAAAATCTGTGGTCATAAGCAATAATCGCCTAAGTCGAAAAACCTGAATTCGCGAAAAGCGATTTAAAGCTTTGGGTTGTAATGTTAACCTTATGGGGAAACTAAAAGACTTTCATTTATAACTTTTTAAATAGAATAGGTAACGAGGTGGGAGTTTGTCGTAGACATGGAATAATAGTTGCAGAAAACGATAGCATATATAACTCAATTCTTTCCTAAGTCGACTTAGGCGGTTATTGCTTACGACCACAGAAATATAGGTTATAATTAACATATTTGCCGTGTGAACAATAATTTAACGATTAAGTATATTAAGCAAAATAATATATTTCAAGCATTTTTGACATTTAATTCAACAATATTTTTTATCATTTTACACAAATTCTCGATCAGTGCCACACGGCAACACTCGATTAGTTCGACAGCACTTGCAGAAGAAAGAAAAATTGCTAGTGCAGCACAAGCATGTTGAAATATATTTCCGAAATCGATTTTCGCTCTTGCAGTTGCAGTCACACCTTGCAACTTTTATTTCTAAAACTGATTTCCGAAAAGTGACAGAAAGATCTTTCTGGCTGTTCACACATCGAAATAAAATTTCTCTTTCTCAATTTGACAGCGAATTGCGTGCGAAAGACGGAAATATTGCCACGTCTGACAGGCTCTTAAGTCTCGAAAATCCTGGTATTATTTGCCTAGAATTCTGGGATTTTCGGGATTTTTAATTTACACTGGTGGCAATTATAGAAACGCTTTATGTTGAATAGTTTTGGCTATACTTCTTTTGTTTATTTCATATTTAAATTTTTTTTATAAATGTGTAGCTCAATATACATATAACACCTTGCGGCAGGCAATTTTACACACAAAAAAAAAATCAATATATTCGCCAAACCAAGGGCCAAATATATTAAAATTGCGTTCTTAATTTTTCTCTTTGACGTTAGGATTTTTAAAAGAACTTTGAAATTTGAAAGATATGAGTAATTCAAAAAATGAATGCAATATACTTAAAAACAGTATGGGTATCAAATGAAGGAGTAGAGTTAAAACACATTGGCCCGTAGTCATAGAGAAGTTAGAAAAGAATTAAAATTGTGTTTTATTGTAATCACCATTTTAACTCTTTCATAGTCAACTTAAAATGCATTTTATGGCGATTCCAAAAAGTTTTTTTTTTAACATAAAAATTATTTTATTTTGTTTTATTAAATTTCGTTTTATTATCTTTTTTTTCATTTATGGTATATCATATAATTATTTCGTTGTTGGTCAAATTTTTTGGAGTTTAGTTTTAATTAAAAAGGTCACAAATAATTAAAAAATAAAAATTTAAACAATATTTAAAAGAACAAAAAAAGATGCAACAAAAATTTTCCCTGGCAGTGGGATTCGAACCCACGACTTCCCGGCTTGCTAAATCCGCAATCTTGCAGCGGACACAGGTTGAACTAATTAAAGTACTCATATTTCTATATATTGCCAGATCAATTTTTTCTCTTCATATAGATAGCACTGTTCTCTCTCATCTTAACGAAAAGCTGTTTCTAAGATGTCTATGATTGACACAACTTAAAAATCTATTCTAAACTTAAAACTTAAAAGGTATTGAAAATACCCTTTTAAAATTTTATCCTTGAATATCCTTGAAATTTTTCAATTCTTATTTTTGAAAAAATTATATGTTAAGGACTAAATTTATTAGCTTAAAGAAGTAAAATAGATTAATGGGACATTTTCAATTCCTATTCGTCTTTGTGAACCCAATATAATTATTTCATTTGGTACCCATACTTTTGGTTTACATTGCACTGATTTTATTTTTTAATAAATTTTGGAATTAACCGTATCTTTGAAATTATAACGATCCCTGACCGTCAAAATTTTCCTTTTGATGCAGAAATGCATCTAGATGCTCTAGGAATATTTCTGCATCAAAAAGAAATTTTTGAAAAAATGAAAAGGAATATAGACAAAACAGATCGAATTAAGGCGCTTCTTTTATTTCTGCCACCAGGATTATGAACTTCTTTCAACCAGAAAATACATTTTTTTTATTTAATTTCTTTGTTCATCGAGCTTTTTTCGACATTAAAGTAATTTATCAGATATGTACACACTAAAGTATTACTAAATGCATATAAATTTAATTACTGCCTTTCGTTTTGTTACTTATGAAATAATTTTCAATTTAAATTAAAAGTAGAAGAGCTTCTCAAACCACATTGATGCAATTTTTTCATGTTAAGTCGTTGCAAAATAATAAATATCTAAATCCCGGGACTGATCCCGGGATTGAACCAACGATATCCCGAAAATCCCGGTACGAACGAACATTTCCTTAACCTAGGAGATTCGTAGTGATGAATCGTGTGAGGTACAAGTGCTTGATGTATCAAATTGTTCGAATCGATACAAAAGTATGATGCGTGTATACATATGTACCTTGCAGCAAAATTTAGAGACAGTCTGGCAAAGCGCTAGTTCCGCCCCACAAATCTCAGAACTGTCTCTGAACTACTGCAAAAGGAATACAGAGCTGGACGGTTGAAACTCATACATACATATGTTGCTAGTTGCGCTGTCGTCAATGTTACTCATCCTGTGGTGCGATTCACTACGCGATTTTAACAACTCTTGTTATTGTTAAGTCAGCTAAACGACAATTTTAACAATTTAGCTACTCAGTAAACGTTTCCCTAACAATATTCGTTAGCGCCCATTCAGCTGTTGTCGCTAACGATAACTAAGGCCGCTAATTTGACGACGTTTAGATTGGTGTTGTTAATAAAACATAAAAAT